ATTTTTTTACGAAAATGGGCATATTCAGAACTATTCCGAGTTAATCACTGAACCAAAAGCCGATTATGAACATTCCAAAATTAGAAACGCCCGTCTGCCAGGCTGCACTCATGAATGCACTTCTCATTCGATTGACATCAAAGCTAACTGCTTTTAATTTATTTAGATGAATTCCATTTTTTTCGGTCTTTCTTTATATGGAAGGCAAAAAATCTACTCGAATGCACAGGCACACTCAACAGCGCGCTGAGCAAGAGCATTCTCTTCTATCAAATCGACCTGATTTTGATTCGCTTCAGCTACTTCGCTTGTGAGTTTTGTCGTCATTTCGGCGAATGGAATGAAAAAACTTTTAAGAGCGTTCATTATGTTCAATTTAAAGTTCTTGGAAAGCACTACGAGCGCACACAAAAAAAACTAAAAAGGAAGGAAGCAAAAGTCATTTGATAACATGGAAAAAAAAACTTTTTGCTCTATTTTTCCAGTATTCTACCCGAAAACATCAAGATAAGAGCTCTGGCCCAATGCGCAACATTGTTCGAACAGTTGGAATTACGTAACACAGAATTCTCGCATTGTGTGTATTTGTGGCAGATATTTGCCAATGCCCCGATTTGGTTGTTCCGATGCAAAAAAAGTGCCCGATCGAATTGGGTTTCGGAACGGAAAATCAGTAAAGTATAAAAAGGGTCGTTGGGTCATATTTGCAGTTAGCAGTTGCCATTGTGTACATGTTGTTTATGGTTCAGTGATTTTATTAGTTTGTTATTGAAAGCCGCAGCAATTGTTATGATTGAGCCGAAACATAAACAAACAGTACCATAGAATTGTGGGCGTTTAACAACAACAACAGCAGCAGCATCATCACCATCGGTATGATTAGACGAACAAGTGCGTTCGATCGGAAATTAAATTGTGAACATAGTATTGAGATTAGCGTAAGACGAAAAAGCAACGAAATTCTGAAATGATTTACAGATGTCGATACACCAAACTGAAAAAATGACATGAAATCATCGAGTGTGTTTCGGCTTCGCAGTGAGATAAATAACCAAACAGTGCTGCGTATATTTACATACTGAAAGCCCTTAAATTGTGGAAAAAACACGCACTGAATTGATTAAGCGTTAGAACGAAGCAGCAAAAAATGGATTTTCTCTCATTCTTCGCAGGAAATGGTCTGGCTTCATTAATACATTCGGCGATGATTTGTGATAATGTCAAAAACAGATCACATATGTTTCGACCGCGCTGGTTTTTTGATTTATTGAAACGCGCCATAATTTGCGCACTTGAGCGCCGAATGAGACGTCAAGTGCGTAAGGAAGGAAGACAGCGATTAATGAACTCCTCTTCATTATTTGGTTGTTTACAGTTTTTATTTTCTCTCACGCGCCGCAGTTTTTTTCATTCGTTGTGGCCACGACAACGAGACACACGACAGAGATTGATTCGAAATGATAAAACGTAAAATTAGAACGTGCAGTTCACACCATCGATGGCGTGGAGCGAAGCTGCGGTGAAAATTGAAATAAAATATAATTCATGATATTATTATCACACAGCGGAATCTAATAATTTAGCCCAGATCCATTAAGCCATTTTGACGTTTTGATCTTGCATCATTTGCGTGTGCTGTATGCACAGGCACAATCTATATATGCATTTTTTTGATAAGTCACAGCCGGTTCTGGCATTTTAAAATATATTCCGCTCATGTGCGTTCAACGCCGACAGTTTCGCCTCATATTTCACTGACATTGTTTTATTTTTTAAATAAGAGTTTCTCGTTGCATAGCAAACTGGCACATACGAATGGGAATCATATGATGGGCGTTATCAAAACAAACATTTCGAAATAATTTTAGAAAGGAAAAAAAGTGAAAAGATTCCCCCAATAGTCATATGAAATGGACAGAGAAATTCGTCAGCGTTTATCTCATGATTTCGAGAATGTTTTGATTTTTGCTGCTCTTCCTCGGTTGGCGCATTACAAAATTGCAACGAATTTAATCCGATTCTCGTTCCGTTTCGCAATGAAACTATCGTTCCGAATGTTAGAATGTTCAACAGAGCGCAAACGAGGCCGTTTTTGTGTGTGTTTTTCCTTTTTTTTATTTTTAACTTTTCATCATGATGTGAACGAAACCATTTCTATGCAGTTTCAAGGTGATCTCTGTTACTCGATCTCGGGCTATTTCCGTTTTTTCTCTGTCTCTCACATTCTAAATGTGCCACAATTAGCAGTACTATTTAAATGTTTTATCACACCAACTGGCCGATGTGTATGTGTGTGCAATAAAGAAGCGATTTGTTTTTTTTCGTTCTTTTGTGAAAAACCAGCACATTTTCACAGAATAAGCTGTGTGACAAAGAAAAACTACCGTCACTCATTCTTTTATGATGCCAACTGTGCATTTCGAATTGAATTTTCATTGCTTTGATGTGATGCATTGAAACGCGTTCACAAAGCAACCAGAGGGGAGCCCATTCAATTTGAAATCGTACGACAAAAGCGATAAATGTCTTATGTGTTTCATTTTATTTTAGTTTGTTTGACTAAGAAAGCGTTCACAATCGAAATGGCTCACCAAGAACTTGCATGTCTTTGAAACATTAGCAGCAGCCGAACGAACGACACAATTACGTTGGGTATACACAGAATGCAATGACGAATGTTTGGCTGAAAACTACTGTACCATGCAGCAAACGAAATGGATATAAGCATCGAATAATACAAAAAAATGTATCCATAAATTTTAATGCCCGAAAGTCGTCGAATAGGCTGTACACGTCATACATGCGAAACAACAGTAAATGCAAATAAAATAATCGCATCCCTTCAGCAACAGCAACAGCAACGAAATATTCAATGGCGACGGCGACGGCGACGAAGACGACGGCGGTGGCGGCAGCAGTGACGGCATAGTATCGTCGACGCTAGGGGATTCGTTGATTCTATATTCAGAGCATATGAAGGAAAGGAAAAAAAACGATGGTCGATGACTCATCGCGTCGTATGAACTTTCCTTGTTTACTATAGGGAGAGCGTGGGGCTGTTTATTGCAGTCAATGAATAAAACACATTTTTACTAAAGTGGTATTGGTTTTTCTTCCTTCGTTTCTTTCAATTGTCTAGGATTTAAAATCCCATTATGAATTCACACTCTCGCACACCGGCAACGGGGATATGAGATCAAGATGATGCTTTTTAGCGATAGTATTTTTATTGTGGATTCAAATAAAAGATAATATCGCGCACACAGCATGACATGTTTGTTTAACCTGGTACAACTGGTGAATGGGATAATTATTCACCGCGTTTGATTTCAATGAAAATCCATTTCAATTTATTATTTTCTTTTCGAAATGCGTCGATAAATCGACAGAAACATAGCATTCCGAATACGGTAAAAAGATGGGCGAGGAAATGAGAGTATGATTAGTGCGGGCCGTATCAAATGGTATTATCCTTGCGCATGCTCACAATGGGATTTGTAAATTTCTGCGTAAATAATAGTATATGTTGAATCAACTAGAAGCTATCATAATGTTCGATATAAAGTCAACAGCTTGCCGTTGCCCCCGTAAAAGAAAACCGCTTCAAAAGGCTATAAAATAGATAAGAGTAAAAGAAAAAAAATTGAACCATGCAGCCGAATGATTCACTGGCACCAGCCAATTCAAATCATATATTTATATGTTGTCGACATAAAAGGGAACAACGGAAGGAACACACATCGCAAACGATATACTATGCGAGCCGCGAGAACGAGAGACACTCAAACTGAAGGTGAAATGTAGAACATTGCAGTTCACCAAACCAAGCGAAGAAGGAAAAAAAATGCAATGGAAAAAAGCATTTGAAATGCGAGTACACTGCAGTTGCATTTAATCAAGGGATTTGCTTGTTCTTTTCTTTCTTTCGTTTTTTCGCTTCTCTTTCTCCTTTGTTCGGTTTATTCCCTTTTGCACACGGAACGTGATATTTCAACTCTTCGCTTACATTCGAAGGATGACTGCGGCAAATAAATTCGAAATATATGTGTCGCTTTTCATTGAATTCGTTGGCTTTGGTTGTTCTGGTGCTGTGTGCTCAGCACAATGGAATGAAAGATTTTTTTTTCGTTGTTAGTCTCAATTGTTAGTTTAGCAAAGTCCTGATGCGAAACATGGTGTCATAAATTATCCTACGTTTTATTTTACATTTTGTTTGAAGGTTTTTGAATCGTTGTGTCTATTGCTTTCAAATTTTCATATTTTTTTCGCTACGCCGCAACACATTCACGATAAAATCAAGAGAGACAAATTATGTCTATAAATAAAAACAAAGATAAAGAGATTGAATATTTCTGCTTAGAAATGAAAAAAACAAATTGTGGAATTTACGATGAAATTCACGCATTTTTCCTGCCATCAATTTTGAGGCCACATTTTCAGGAATCCGAAACGAATTACATAAGTGCGAAGAAAAAAATGAAAGCAAAATACTAGACTAAGCAGAACGATATGTGCAATTTATTTATTTTTTTGCTCTGTTGTTATGTTCACGATTCAATTCCCGTTCGAAGAAGCAACAAAGAAAAAATTGCGCTCTGATCGCGCATCCAATAAATCGCTAGACGATGAAATTATAGAGCACTTGTTTCTCGGTCAAATCGAAACTAGAACTTAAATGAACGTCATTTCATATACGCTGATTTTTTTTTTATTATTATCGTTGGCTGCGTTCATTAAATGAGCAGCGCAAACGGGCATAAAATTGCCTTTTTCCGATGATGTCATGTCGTGTGGTGACTTTAATAAAAATGCGAATGATTAAACTTTGTGATTAGGTTTATTCACGATGCCTTGCGGCAAGAGACATGATGCATCGAAACGACCAACGATTTGATCTCTTTATTTGTTTTCTTTCTCTCTGGTGAATCATCCATAGTGATATGAGTGAAGTTTTTGACTAAAACAGAACAAAAATGAATTGAAAATAAGTGTCAACTTACTGGCATTCGTTCATGATTTCCTCTTGGCTTCGAACCTGTACCGGTGCCAATTCCTCGACCGATTGTTCATAATTGCCAAAGCATTTTGTGATTTTCTCATCGAATGTATTCACCAGATCCTCCAAGCTTCCGGTGAATGCTTCGGCAAAATTATCCATCGTGTCTTTCAGATTGCGATTCAATGCGTCCGATTTGAGGTCGGTCGCTGCTGGTTTTTCGTCAATTTTATTGTTATTATCCTTGTTGTTGGTGTTATTGCAACTACCTTTGATTGCCTCCTCCAACAAGTACAAGTTGTCATTCTCTTTTAAATTCAAATTGAGTGCATCGGTGATTGCTGCTTTAAGCGTTGCATTCGATGATTGGTAGTCAACTGGACCCCATTCGTCAGTCTCTTCAAATTTGGCCAGAGGAGCTTCAAATTTTAACTCAGCCATTTTGTTAGCCAGGTCCCGCATGGCACACCGTACACACAATCAATTCACAACTTCGCAAGAAAAATGTTAGTCAAATCCGGAATCGAAATCACTTGCACCGAAAAACCACTGGGTATTGCGATGCAAATAGTAATTCAGTAACCGAGATGACACTATGTGATTTTAATGCAAATTCACTATCGCTCGTGGCACCGTTTTCTATTTATTTTGGCTGTAGAAAATATTCAATCTGTCACTGCACCAAGCACATTCACATGTGGTCAATAAATATTCCTTTTTTTTGGATTTTTATCGCATGAGAAGAAATCCTAGATGTTTTCCCCCTTTTAATCTTCGATTATTAACACTTTTATAATGACAATAATATATAAATACAAAATCTCTTTTTCTTTGCTAAATCACGGAGGTTTTTCCTTTTAAAAATGATGTATTTACTGCGTTGTAAATACACTTTTCACTTCGACACTGAATAGGCTTTATTTTGTATTTCGGTTGGGTTGAAGATTATCGATTTTCTTTCCTCGTTGTGATGTCCTATTCCTTGTGCGAGAATGGTACATAAAACAAACGAAATCACCACAGAAGCGCGAAATGTCAGGCGGATAATACGGAATGTACTGGGCTTTAGTACACACGCGCACACTGTCTGTTCTGTTCGTCGAGCAAAAACGAAACGAATGATGTGTGTCTACGGCAACGGTCGAACGAAAACTAAAACACCAACCAAACGGCAACATGAATATTTCAGCACAGCGACGGAGCCAAACAAACAAAATAACGAACGAATCGGCGAAAGGGAGAAAGAGTCAAAGGCACACAGTGCTGATGCGAATGAGTATGAGTATGTGTGTGTTTGTGAGTGAGTGAGTGAGTATTTGCATGTGTTTGTGTGTTTGGTTGCAATGCAAATGCTGGTCTCTCGTTCTGTGGGAGAGCGGTGAAATGCAGAAAATTTTGATAACTGAGAGAGAGAGAGAGAGAGAGAGAGAGAGAGAGAGAGAGAGAGAGAG